GGGATAATGTAGCTCCGCAGTTTGTTAGTAAATGTGTTGGTGTCTCTTCTGCCTCCTTGCAGAATCTACATGTGCCATCTTGGATTGTTCCAATTTTCTTTAAGTGTCCATTTAATCTGCAGTGTCCTGTTAGGAATCCTGTTAGGATTCGCATTCTGTTTTCCTTTGACATTCTGTAATTTCTTTCTTACCAAAATTGGTTAGAAGATTCTTCAATTGTCTATGTCCAATGAGTGAATTCCATTGTTCCTTCATTTTCTTTTTGTCCTTCTGCCTGAGATATTCGTTAATAGTGTGGATTCCTATGTCACAGAAGGGTTCGGGTCCTATCAGCGGTGTGGCAGCCCCTTCCTTGCAAGGGTGTCCACTTTCTCGTTGCCTTCTACTCCCATGTGTCCTGGGACCCAGCAGAGGCTGACTTTATTCTGCATACCTAATATGTTTAATTTGGTTTTGCAGTTCAGCACCGTCCTTGAACTAATGATACTTGAGCTTAGTGCTTTGATGGCTGATTGGCTATCTGACATGATAGATATATTCTTGTTTTTATACCCTTTACTTAGATTGAATTGGGTCTTTCAATTGCATGAATCTCAGCTTGGAAGATACTGGTGTGTTTTCCCATGGGTTCTGAGTATTTGGTTCCGGGTCCAAATACTCCTGCCCCCGTACCTTCTTGTGTTCTAGATCCATATGTGTACCAGAGGATGGTGCCATTTTTAAAGAAGTTATTTCCCTCTCTTTCCCATTCTTTTTTGGTACCTAGGTTTATTCGGAATTTTTGGTTAAATTCAAACATCCTGTTCATGTCGTCTTGGAGCCATGAGTGACGGATGGTCTTTCCATAGTTTGTTGCTATCTCTCCATTTCAGTTTTATTCCTGTTGGAGGTTTCTGTTTGATAAGACTGATGATGGTTTTCTGCGCTGTCCTTTCTACAATGTGATGTAGGGGGATTAACCCAGTATCTTTTCCATGCTAATTGTAGGACATGTTCTCACTGCTCCCGTTATGCAGATGCATGCAAGTCTCTGAATTTTTGTGAGTTGTTTCCTTTTGGTTATTTGTTCTGCTTTATCAGCTCAGGCTATAGCTCCATATGTAAGTAAAGGTCTTACTATCATGGTGTACATACATAACAGGGTTTCTGGTCTGCATCCCCAGTTTCTTCCTGCTATTCTTCTGTACACCAGCAAAGCTGTGTCGCCTTTGTGATAATAGAGCTGATGTGTTTCTTAAATGTTAGTGTTTTACCTAGTGTGATGCTCAGATATTTGACTTCATTTTTTATTTCTATCACGGTGTTATTGAGTATTATTTCCCTCATGTGATTAACAGTTTGAAACTAAGACAAACAACAAACAAACAAGCAAGCCAAACAAAATGCCAAGAGTCAAAGAAGCCACTGAATACTTGTAGAGCAGTGAGGGAGCGGGGGAAGAAAATGCTTTATTGGAAGTGCAAAACAAAAATGGAGGAACAATGAATTAGTATGCTACCGTAGGTGAGTAAAGACTGGAGGAGGAGATGTTGTAGTGGACGTGTTCGACTGGTGTGGGTGTTGAAAGAAAAAACCATGATGAATCTGATATGGACGAGGAAAAGACCGAGCTGTGATAAATGTACAGAAGTATGTTGCTGGAGGAGAAAAAACCATGCATGATGAATCAGAGATGGACAACTAGAAATTCTGCTAGATGTTGTTGAAAAAGAAGAAACCATGAATGAAGAAGGGGCTTTGGAGTTCATAAATGATGGATATTTTGCTTTGACTTCCCTCTGCATCAGAAACAAAAACAGTAAAAACTGTATTTCCTTGTTTATGAAATACTGGATCATTAAGTAGCTACTGTTTTCCTCTTAAGGCCATACAATCGAATGATAAATATTTTTGTTATCAATACAAAAGATACGAGAAAATTGCCTCTTTGTAACTTTTTGAAGAAATTGCCAGATCCCAAAATTTTGTTTTGAAAAGGAGAGAATGCGCGTTACCAGTTCCGCTAACCAGTAAACATCCATTGGTGACGCCAACAACATAAGACTAACGTTGGTATTCAAAATATTTAATAATAAAAACAAATATTGGTTTATTATTAAAGAAATGATTCACTGTTTGTAATGTAAATTTTGAAAAATGGCAAAAAGAAGGGAAAATTCAAAAGGTGGGGTGGAGATGGGAAGTTAGTGTCCGAGTGGATCGAGGTCACAATAGCTCAAGTGGTAGAGCAGCGGCGTAACTAGCCGAAGATCCTGGGTTCGAATCCCGCTGGTGACACTGCCTTTTTATCTCAACTAAAAACCTTAATTAATTGAAATATATTAATTGGTCAAGCGGTCCACGACAACTAGTGAATTATTGTTAATGTTGAAAAGTATATAATTTAGACATTTTATAGTATTCTTAAATAGTATGTGTGAAAAAAGACTGTGTATCCACTATTTTTTAAAATGTTTTAAATTTTACAATACATTGACGTATGTATTTTGTTTTATTTTAATTGAATGTATGTTTATTTTTAGTTTGGACCGTGCAAGACAGCATATGCCGGTTCCTTGCATGGAATTTTGTGGCTAATGTGTACATGTATTTTTTGTTAATTTTGTTATAATGTTAATAAAATTTTAATTAAAAATTATACTGAATTATCTATATATTTAAATGTTTGATCTAATACAGGTGCTTGTATTTTTTATTTTATTGTATACTTTAATTTTACTAGTATAGGGGTGTGTGTACAAGTAGTTAAGAAGTTAAATGAATTAAATCATATTGAAAGTTTTCATTAGAAGAAAACATGAGTAAAACGCCTCGGCGTATCGAATGTGATCTAGGTGCCGTGTGGGATTGTGTGTGTGTAATCGAATGACCCACACGAAAGCCCATAAATCTCAAGGCAATTCTTGTTTCCCGAAGTTGTTGAGTCGATACTATTCGCTGATATACTTCAAGTTCTGAGTCAAAAATGGTTTAATCTAAAAATAAGTTGTTTCACTTGTAATCGTTATAAAGTTTACATCGGCTAAAAGAAATGCTATACGAGTTATGATTAATCAATGCAGCCGGTGGTTATATTTCCACACTAAAAGTTTTAAATCAAGTTCAAAAGAAGTAAGTACTCAAGTAAATTGAGTTCGGTCAGGTTCTTTCATTTTCATGTGCAGAACGTTCTCTCTTGTATGACCCTTTCTCTTGTTATTCTGTCTTTCTAACTGTAAACACATATTTCTCTTATTCTCTTCTAATCGCCTCTATATTTGTATCACACCCTCACTACAGATATTTTCCTCTTTCAATCATCCTCTGTCTCTCTCTTTCTATCTCTTTCTTAATTCATTTATTTTTTCCTCTCTCTATTACATTGTACAGATTAGTGACCGTTAATCGATATCTGAATAATTATATTGTACATTTTCTCCATTTCTTTCCTTTCTCTGATTCTCTTAGTTTCTCTTTCCCCTTTACGATCAACTTTTACTCGTTTCCTCTTCTTTTTTGTTTCTCTGTCTCTCTCTCTCTCTCTCTCTCTCTCTCTCTCTCTCTCTCTCTCTCTCTCTCTCTCTCTCTCTGCTTTTCTTTTTCTCTCTTCCACGCTTTTTATCGATAATGCCTATGCTTTTGATCACGCTTTTTTTCTTTCTCTTACCTACTACTTACCTCTCTAACCTTCTCTTACTTTTGATCCCTTTCCCTATAGCATAATCTTTCTCTTTCCTCTTTATTATCTTTTAAATGATTATCTTTCATCCTCTCTCATTTAATATTTGTCATTTTCTCCCCTTTACTCTCTCTCTCTCTCTCTCCCTCTCTCTCTCCCTCTCTCTCTCTCTTCCTCTCTCTCCCTTTTTTCTCTATCTTTCTTTCTTACATTTCTTAATAAATAAATGAACAATATGAAGTAATTTAAGGTGAAATTAAACTGTATCTAACGAATCTATTGATAATTGGAAGGAGGTTGCATTCTGTCTTACCCTACTTACAACTTCAATCTCGCACTATCTCACTTTTCTTTATTTTTCTCGAGGAAATGTTATAAATCGCCCATTTAATAATATTTTTACTGTACACCAACCGATTAAATGGTCATTGAGGTTGTTTTTTCCCATTCGATTTGTTCTAGGAGGCAGCATTATTGATAATAAGCTTTATGCTAAAGAAATAGATAGAAATTGATAGTTGTTAAAGCTCAAATTAAACTGTAGTTAACGAATCTGTGAAGAAATGTATATCTCAACCTATGATGTCAGGCATCCAACTTTTCTTTATTTCTTCCACATTATGGCTCGTTTTTGGAAGATTGCACTACAAAGACTGAGTATTTTATTGGATACCAGCCGAATAAATAATTCGTAAGTAATGAAACACCAACGCCAAGATATCCAATCGGAAGTTTAATCGATCGTTGAAGTAGTTTTGTACTTTCAGTTTGTTCAAGGAAATAGGGTAGTTGATATTATGTTTTGAATAAAATGCATCGATAGAGTATTAAAGCTCAAATATTAATTAATTAAAGTTCTAACAAGGACAACAATTCTATGGGGAAATAGAAAGAGACCACCTCTCGCGTCACCCTGCTTATTACCCCAACCTCCGCCATAACAACATTCTATTTTTCTCAGCATTTTCCTTACAATAGTACTTTTTTTGGGACTTCAAAAACAATGTATTTACTGACTAACTGATTTATTCATCCGCAAATAAATGTAAAGGCAAGTCCAAGTGGCGCTAACAGATGTTTGGTCAAAAATAAAAATACTTATAATTTTCTAGAGTTAAAATTGTCCACAATGGATAATCTAATTGAATTATAATTATAAAGAAACCCCAAAACACCAATATGTGAATAGAACTCTTGCATTGTTGACTCACCCTTTCTATAAACGATCTATGAACTCTGTACTTTCGGTAGTCTTTTTCAAAAAATTGTAAATTATCTTCTAGGACTTTCAGTTTGTACATTGCCATATAACATTTGATAAAGGATTTTGTAAATAGTTCACCTGGCATGATATGGACCGACGCTGGCAGAGTCGTAAGCTGAACTTGCGGAGATGGCACTGTCGGGTATGTCACCCGATTCCATACCCAATGGAGAACCGCATCGAACTGTAATCAGACAAAAGACTTACTATTGTAAAAACATAAAAATACACTCGTCACATAAATACTAACTCTAAGTACAAAGTCGTAAGTTAAATATTTACATAATTGACTTAACATTTCCGCACGCTTACATTGAAATTCGTCTATTTAGATTTAAAAGAGCGGGATTTTTATTTAGCAAATAATATCAACCCAAACACTCTTCTGAGCCATATTTTTCAGTCCTAACATTTAACTACGTTTTCTTAGTCAAAACGAAAAGAACATTACTGTTTACTTGTAAGTTGGCATGAGTTGGAAGAAAGTTACGGTCGTTTAATAAAAGCATAAAGCGGACAAGTTTAAATCCCTTTGTAAACTTGAATTAATCCGTCGTTCCGGAGACATAATTCGTCAAAAAACCTAGTTATTATGAAAATGTGCTCAACTATGTCATAATTTTTGGTCAAATAATATTAATTTGAATATTGTCTTCAACAGAAAACTATAAATACAAACTATCACTATAAGTATATATACATAATATATACTACATTATATATATATANTATATATATATATAATACAGGATCAGTACGATAAAAATTCCTATAACCTTCCCTTCAATTAGGCTTCCTCGCTTTCTCTTTTTCTGCAGAAAGGCACAATACAGCTGTTCATGTATATATGAAAATGCCATATAAATAATTCCAATTGGGCCAAACCCTGAGTTTAATATTACACCAACTCGGTGGAAATAGAAAATTAGTTTTTTGTCGTTACATAAACGGTATGTTGAAAAGTTATGAAACAAATGTGAGAATTAACCTTTTATAAAGAGGAGAGAGAAAGAGCACCTGTTGCAAAATTTGATTTATTAACTCGAGTCAATTAACCCTTTATTACAAATCCAAAGCTAGAAAATATAAGAGAATTGTTCAAGAAGTTTATTAATTGATTAGGATAATTGTATGGTGTATTTTTATGCTCAGAAACCAGCAGATTGAGTCCGGTAATTTAAAAAAAATACGTTGGAATTAGTAGTTTTAAAAATAAATATTTATTATTTATTGTATAGCATATTAGCTGAAAGAAAAGTCGGATGATCTCGCGTGTGCGTATTTTTTGGTGAGAAGGGGTGCGAAAAAGTGGCGAGGGACGATGGTAGGTATCGAACCCACGACCGCGTGTTCGACGGGCTAAGAGCCAGTCACGCAAACCACTGGGATACCGCGGTCCCCTGAATCAAGATTATTTTAAATATTCAATATTGAACGGTATTTGTAACAGCACATAATTAAATAAATTCTTAAAATCAAACGATTCTCGTTCAAGAAGTAACGAAAAAAATATGATATAAAATACAAGACGTTGACAACTTGTGTAAAAGGAGTTTGAAAAGTGATGATCAAATAATAGGGATTTGTGTTTTTTGTGTTAAACCTAAAAAATATTTTCTTCTTATATCTGGGCCTAACTTTTTCATTGTTTCTCTGTCATTTTCTTATTCATTCTGACACTCTTAATATCTTCCTTTCTCTATCCATCCATATATATATTTATCTACCTGTCAATTTACTTTCCTATCAAATCTTTCTACGTATCTATTTTACCTACTAATCTATCTACATAATCTATGTCTCTTACTCACCCACTGTCACACTTTACACAACAACTTTAATTTCTGACTGTTTCTTTTTCTTCTTGACACTGAAGAGTTCTCATTTCTCTCTCACTCTCTCTCTCTCTCTCTCTCTCTCTCTCTCTCTCTCTCTCTCTCTCTCTCTCTCACACACACACACACACACACACACACACTCACTCACTCACTCACTCACTATCTCTCTCTCTTTCTCCTCTCTCACACATTTTCTATCTCTCTTCCACTCACACTCTCTCTCTCTCGCTCTTTCACATTATTCATCTCTCTTTCACTCTCACCTTCTCGGACGGTCTATTCATTGTGTATATCAATTTTTCCCACCTTTCTCTTACTTTCACACTATACTATTTTCTACTTAGCGTTATTTTTATCATTTTATTAGGTTTCGTGGTCCGCTTGACCAAATAAATTCTTTTCAATTAATTAAGGTTTTGGTTGAGATAAAAAGTCAGTGTCACAAGCGGAATTCGAACCCACTACCTTCGGCTCAATACGCCACTGCTCAACCACTTGCGCTACCGTGACCTCGATCTACTCGGACACTAACTTCCCATCTCTTGAATTTTTTTTTTTTAGGCAAATCATAAGCGATTGGAAATTAATAAAAAAAAACCTTGTCCAACTGTATCTGATCGTTATTTTTGTAATTATTTGCAACTTATCCGCTTGAGTTTTGGAAATATGTGATCAAACTAGAGTGGTCGTACTTCCAAGGAATCGCACTAAACTGATTTGGAAAAAATTGAATTTCCTGCCAGCGTGTGAGGTCTGACAGGCTTCTTTTTCGTTTTTTTAATCAAACGCGCGCTTTCTGTCTGATAAAACAGTCCTAAGATTTTACCTCGATGACATGAAGCTTGCGTACCAGTCGCTAATTAATCTCAGCCTCTAAGCCCGGAAACTAACGCAAGATCCTTGCATACAAATTAGGATTCCACTCTGTGCTCACACATGTCAAAAGAGACGTCTTCATCTCTTTCACCCTCTACCAATCCCAGGTTACCGAATTATTTAAATCTCTCCTTAAATTACAGAGATCCTCGCGCTCTGAATACGAAATCAGTGCCACGCCAGTCTCGAACGGTATTCTTATCCTGGTGGAAGGCATGTCTTCTTTTCCTCTCCGTCCACCTACAAGATCTGCCATGTGTTCTTCAAGCAACTTGAGAAATTTGGAACAAGAAGTGATTATGTTCTCTCCGATTTGTAAATAATAAATCTTTTCGTCTATCTCACTCTCTTTTCTCTCCCTTTACGCCCTCTCCCGACAAAGAGCAATTGGGAAAAGGAAAAAGGATAACTTATATAATTATATTGCTAACTTTGAATATCCACCATAAAACAGATGTTAATAAATCACTTAACAGCGTTATATCCAAAGCTAAAGCGTAAGATAATATAACAATTACATTCCTAAAAATGTTCAAAAGTACACGTAAATTCACTAGTTTTAGTAGTCCGCTTGACCAATTAATATATTTCAATTAATTAAGGTTTTTAGTTGAAATAAAAAAGTCACGAGCGGGATTCCAACCCACTATCTTCGGCTAGATACGCCGCTGCTCTACCACTTGAGCTATCGTGACCTCGATCCACGCGGACACTAACTTCCCATCTCACCCTCACCTTTTAAATTTTCCCTTCTTTTTGTTTTGTTTTGCCAGTTTTCAAATGTCGTGTAAGCTATTTGGTTCACTTGTCATTTCATTTGTCGCCGAGAATCGAATAGATTACACGACATTTGAGAAATGGAAAAAAAAGGAGGGAAAATAGAAAACGTGGGGTTGAGACGGGAAGTTAGTGTCCGAGTGGATCGAAGTCAAGATAGCTCAAGTACAGCAGCGGCGTATCTCCGGTCGTGGGTTCGAATCCCGCTTGTGACACTGACTTTTTATCTCAACTAAAATCCTTAATTAATCGAAAGATATTAATTGGTAAGCGGACTACGACAACTAGTTAATAGATGATACAGCCATTCCTCTACAAAATAATGCTTATTATTTAGGCTTCACATTACTAATCTCTCTCTTTCTCTCTCTTTCTCTTTCTATCTTTCTCTCTTTCTCTCTCTTCTCTCTCACTCTCTCTCTCTCTCTCTCTCTCTCTCTCTCTCTCTCTACGTTTTTGTTTTCCCCCTTTTGTCCATCATTCTTTTGTAAATTTTCTGTCTACTTGTATTTACCTCATGTGTGAATTTAGATCTCGACTTGTCATTACTTTACAAAATGCAAAATTCTTCTCCATTGATAAACAAATTACTCTTTGTAACAATGTAGCAGAATTGATTGATTTATTGAAATATTATTATTATATTATATTTACTCGTTCTTTTGCTGGAGCGTTTTAATTTTAAGTTGTTAACTCGAAAATCCGTAGTTTGAAAGTGTATAACTGCCGAAACGACACAACTGGTAGAAAAATATCTATTTAAAGATACACCTGAGTTATGGAGCCCAAAACTAATTGTCCTGTCTTTGTATGATGCATTAACCCGGTCCTCAAAATAATCCGACCAATTAACTGTCGTTCCTCAAACGCCGTTGATAAATGCCCGGTATTTTAATGTATTTTTACTTTCAAGCTGTGAGCAGTAAATCGGGATATTTTCGTATATGTTGGGCTCCCCTTCATTTCTCGCTGCAAAAGTTACACTTAAAATTGAGAAGTAAACGACGTCTTTCGTAGAGACCCACAGAGAAAATGCAAACCTGAAGAATTTGAAAAGAAATAAGTGTTTCATAATTATTTCTTTTAAGGTTATTAATGCTTTTTTAATTATAATAAATTTATGGTCGACCGCATAACACAAAGGTGTACCAAGGTACAATTTAATCGGTACTTGGATACTTTGTACATAATTACATAATATGTTTAATAATATGAATTAGATATAGTATTGGGGGAAGCGAGAGCAGTTTTGTACCGTATGAGAGGTAGAAAAATGGATACTGTCAAAATAATAAATAAACAAAAAATGGGAGGAAGAGAAATCATAAGAAAAGATGACTCAAAAATAGGGCTTATAGAAACAGATAAGTATGCAAATAAAATAGATATATAAGCAGAATGATTAAACAAGAGAGATAGGAAGATAAAACGATAGCGACAAGATCATGATGTACATAGAGATAGATGGATGATAAAAATAGACATAGATAGATCTAGAGAATTATATATATTTATAGATAGATAAATAGATAAATGGAGATAAGGTGAAAGGTAGTGTCTCCGTTCTGATTATATAGGGAAATTAAACAATAAAAATTAAAGAGGGACAGTTTAAGAGATTGTGCATGATAACAGATATATTTATAAAGAAATAAAGTGATAAAGAGGGAGAAAGTAAGAGAGAGAGAGAGAG